CCAGTGTATTCCATTTATTTCAACAAAGTAACTGTATTCTGAATACCACCTTTTTAAACGGTAACTGTAACGGAATACAGTTACTCATATTTTGTATTCTAAATACGTAACGGCGGTACATGTATTCCGTTACTCCCCAACACTGTATATACGTATAAATGCAACATGGTTTCCAGTTTATTTGGAGCTACTTTTAGATAGGAATATTTACCGCATTTGTCAGAATTCAACATTTCTGTGAAATCCTGCCTGCTTGTATGGCTACTCTCTCCATCAGAATATGTCTGTAAATATAAACAGATAATACATTTCAATATACTGACAACAAAATGGCATAGTAAATATTAATATTATGTTTATGTTTATGTATTATGTATTTAAACATAATACAAGTGACAATGTTTAAGGGAGTTTAAAATCCATCTTTACTTTGATTTGATTTTATGAACATACATTCATTTGCTGAAATGCTCAGGATTAATTACTGATTCATTGTCCTCACATTAAATAACCTTTTGAGGTTTGACATAAATTGACTTCTGATGAAACAGTTTTTTCACAAGGTCTCCATTCAAAGTCTGTTTGGAAGTGAGTGATGGCTCAACTAGTTTGGTGTGGCATGTCAGCAAAATCTGTAGCCTAGGGGAGGAAGAAAACATAGTGTATATGAAAGTTTTGTTAATGCTAACAGACTACAATACAATACAATACAGTACATCAAAAGGTTTAATTTTTGTTAACTCTAAAAGATATCAATCCAGTCATCTGATCAGTGCCCACAGATCCTTTTTGGAAATACCCAAAGTTGACCTTTAATAGTATAATAATCTAAGTAACAAAAACAATCTTTTTATGAAAAAGGATCTAAAGCTTACCTGCATCCTTCAACAACTGGCTGGAAGGCAGTCCTTATTGACTGCATTACTTTGTCTGAGTCCCATTCACAGCTAAACTCCAGTCCATTTTCAAAAAGCCAAGCTTTTTTCTTACACCTTGGCACATGTGCAGTTAGATGGTCCTGCAAGAGAATCACTTTGGTGAAAGACTGAGCCAGAGATTGTGACCTACTTAGCTGTGCTGGAAACCTATTAGAGAATAAAGGCAAAGTAAACATTTCTGCATGTAATATACTCCCACTACTCTGATCAATGAAGCACATTTTATTTAACAAAATACACCATACTGTACACATGTCCAATTTGCATTAATAAACACCCACTAGCCCCATGGTAGCTAGGATAGGCTCTTGGAATTCTGAATTGGATAAGTGGAAGAGAATGGATGGATGAATGGATGGATAGATGATGGAAGATAGTGGGATGGGTGGGTGGAGAAACTTAACAATCACATAAAAAATTTCCTAAATTCACAGAGCACTTTTTGTTGCTTTAGAAAAATGTTTCATTAAATTATATACTGCCAAAAACTATGTATTGTAACAACTGAATGATGTGCTTTGCTTTCACACAATGTTTGCAGCTTGAAATATTATAGAAATCGCATGTTTTCACAGTTTAGTCTCCACAATCACACGCTGTGAGTCTATCGCACACTGTTTTTTACTGTGATATTTTTGTTTACTTTGCTTAGTCTAGCAATTGAAACTTACGGGCAATTACTAACCTTCCACTAGTAATTTCAATGTATTTAGTTCCGTTCTTACCTCTTCTGCTTTGGGCCCTTTCGAGTGCAAGGTCTAAGAATGTAGATGGGACACGCTGTGAGGGACTCTTGTGATGTGGAAGGCACGTTCTCCATAACATTAGCTGGATAACCAGGGGCTATCTGACCGGAGAGGTTCACTGCATTTGGTCTTCCACAGTGAATTTATTCAAATTTCTTCATCAGTAGCACGATGCAGTACACTGGTACTAATATTAGGTTGGCCAAAACATGCATTTGCCTGGGTGTTAATTAGCTCCTCATTACTTAAAATCTGAGCCACACGATTCTGTGCGGACTGGCTTATAGTGCCTTTCTTCGCAGCTACAAACAAGGAAAACACTAGTGACTGTATATTCAGAAGATCATTCTATATATATAATATTTTCCTAAACGGCATTCCATAATGTGTATATATATGTAAGGACACATATACACACATATGCACATGATTTAAAGGACACACACATATATACATCTCTCTCTCTCTCTCTCTCTCTCTCTCTCTCTCTCTCTCTCTCTCTATCTATCTATCTATCTATCTATCTATCTATCTATCTATGTATCTATCTATCTATCTATCTATATACACACACATATGCATGTATGTATGTGTCCTTTAAATCAAAGCACATCACAATAAATACACAAAGCTGAAATGAAGTTTTTCAAATAAATGGCAATGCAAAATTACTGATTGGAACACGAATAATGTGTATTCTGGATTTGGATGTAATGAGTTTAACGCTACATAAAACATGTCTGTAAAATGTATTATAAATGGAGATAAAACCTTAAGTTTATTAAAAACTGTGTTTTAATAAAGCAAGCCATCTTGCATAGTATGAGAACTTAAATGTATTTTTTTCAACAACCCTAGGTGGGAAATGCATTTAATAAAACTGAAGCAAAACAAGAACTGCGCACCATTGCATCATCTCCCTCAGACAAATACGTGTTTCAAGTGGAGAACTTCGATGCACTTGAAATAATAAGACAAAATTTGCAAGAAAAAATTTTCTCCATTGAAGGTACAAACATAAATGTATTGTGTTAACTTTGTTACAAATTTCTGTAAACATACAAATTTAAAATGATTATACTTAATAATAAGGAAAAAACAAACTTAATGTCTCATGTCAAGGTAAAATTCCTGTTGCTCTACATGCTGTTTATTATAAAAGTGCTGTGACACATTTATGATGAACAGCAAAAAACTTGAATAATAATGAAAATTTGTCTTTGTAACGTGAAATTGTATTGTCTTTTATCTTCACTTATTTTTCTGTCACAGGATCTCAAACCAGTGGAGAGACACTAAAAATGGAAATGTCTCAAGAGGGATTCAGTGCAGTTTATGTGCCTGAGGTAATTACAGTTTTTCTCAGTCGCTTTGGTGCTTTTCTCAGATCAAAATGAAAATTCTCAAAACCATTAGTGCAACCTCCACAACATTTAGTCATTTGTGCACATCATAGTAGCAATTTCTCCTTCCTCTGAACAAATTGCAAATGCTCTTGGACATGTATCAGTTGCTTTCATTCAATTCTCTGCCATCGACAACATTATCATTTGCTTATGTCATGTCAGTCAAAATGAACTATACTTTTGGAAGCTAAATAGTGGTTCCCAATCAAACTAATAGTCTTTATTTCATTGAGTCATTAAATACAAAATTGGTGAATTAGTTTTCAAATGCTGTCAAGCAAATGTTATACCTTTTTTTCATTAATTTTTTCCTGTCCCTGAAATTGAACAATTTCTCTCATGCCATAGTCCCTGAGAATGAGAGGGGTGGAGGTCAACTCAACAAGTATGTTGTTGTGTGGGATAATGTCCCTTTTCACTACACACATCTGGTCAGACAGTGGTTTGCAGCACATGACAGTGTCTGTTGAATATCTCCCTCCCTACTCCCCATTCCTTAATCCGATAGAGGAGTTTTTGGCTGCCTGGAGGTTGAAGGTTTATGACCGGCATTCACATGCACAAATGGCCCTGCTAGCAGCCATGGATGCAGCATGTGATAACATCACAGCAGAGTCATGCAGAGGGTGGATTCGCCACTCCAGGAGACTTTCCTTGCTGCATTGCAAGGGATGATATCCGTTGTGATGTAGATGAGACAGAAAGGAACGTCTGAATGTGCCAGAATGATTTGCGTTACAATATGTACTGTTATATTGTTCACATTTGTGCACAGCTCTACCAAAAGGTTATTTCTCATGTTTATTCTAAATACGTGACTGTAGAGTATTTTTCTTTTGCACAATGTTGTAGAATTACAAACATCCTACACAGTAAAAATGTGAAACATATGTATTCAGTGTCTTGTACTCTCTTACTTCCATAACTACTGGAATGTCTAACTTTACTGCAGATTTTACTGTACATGGCTGTGCAAAAAGTGTATAGTGCTGTCTTGAGCATTTTCAGGTAGTGTCACCGACCTGACCCTTTTTTGCACTAAAAGATACTGAGAGAATACTGTACACTGTGAAAACATGACAAAGCCATTTTTTAACTTGTTCATCAAGATGGTGTCAAGACTTCTCATTTTGGTGACACTGACAGTTTCATTGACACGAATACTTGCTTTTGAGGAATGGATTATCGATTTTGAGCAAGTGACCTGCTTTTGCAGGTTATCAACTAGGTTTTGCAGTTTGCACTAATTGTTTTGAGAAATACACTAACTGCTGTGCAAATGTTAATAGTGATGTGAGAAAAGCACCAAAGCCACTGAGAAAAAATCCCCATACAGTCTAGTCATAGAAAGAAACATTCACATGTGCCTGTCTGGTAGTTTTTATGACTTTCTGTCTAAACTGTATATAAATTGTATTTTCTTTCTACACTGTAGGGAATTCAGATGTCTATTGTTGGTGCAAACCAGTGGAAGGGAGGCTACGTGCAATACACAACTGGAGGCCAGAAGGTGAAAACATATGAGGATGTGTCTTTGGAGCCTGACAGTTATCTTGGTAAGAATATTACAGCTTTAACAATCTAACTTATACACATGTGATCATGTACATTCACAGCTCTGCTGTAATTCTTTCACACAAACATCAGATTTTATATCTGTCTTTCCTTTTTGGCCTACCTAAATTCTAGGTTACTCCATGGCAATTGCTAAAACTCAAAGCGGCTCACTGACAATTGTTGGTGCTCCAAGATATAAACACAGAGGAGTTGTGGTCGCTGTTAATAGAGAAAACTTTGAAAACCAAAAAATTGAGCCATTGGCATCACAGGTATGTATTTACAAGACAGATGTGAATGTAACACTGTAAACTATATATAAATTATTTTCTCAAATAAAAGCTGATGTTTTTTTTCCTAAACCTGAATCCTTTCAATAATAATTTTTTCCTTACACAGTATCAGACTGGTGAATATTTCGGGGCAGAGGTGTGTACCATGGACATAAGTAATGATGACATCACTGATCTAATCTTCATATCAGCCCCAATGTACACGGAGCCTGATAGAGAGGGAAGAGTTTATGTTTGCAGATTAACTGGTTTGGTAAATCACAATATCACCTACTGTAATTAAATTTATCAGTTTATTTACCAACTTCTAATGATCTTAAAATATTCACTCTTCTCCTTTCAGTTTGTGGAGTGTAATTTTGATGATCCATTAGTACTAAGAGGACATGCAGCTGTCAAAGGAAGGTTCGGCTCTTCTCTTGCTGTGCTGCCTGATATAAACTCAGATGGATTCATGGATTTGGCAGTTGGAGCACCTTTGGAGAATAATGATGAAGGCAGCATCTACATATTTAATGGTGAAGGAGGAGGAAGAATCAGTCCTACTTACTCACAGGTACATAAGGTCAAAAAATTCACAAAGAGTTTTAATTGCATTTATCCTGCAATATGTCTAAACAATCTGCAGCTTGATTACTTAAATTGTTTTCATGTACACAGAGAATTACTGGCTCTGAGGTCCAGTCAGGACTGATGTTTTTTGGTCTATCAATCAGTCAGTCGTCTTTTGACCAGAGCGGTGATAAACTTCCTGATTTAGCGGTGGGTTCAAAGGGCACAGTTGTCTTACTGAGGTAAGTCCAAGATACTCCAGTCATGTGTTATTGTTATTTATAGCAATTGATATTGTTCACTTTACAAGGTAAATTTTATGAGAATTGCACATGATTGATTTATGACTTTTTAATCCAATACCGATGCAGGGTAAAAAAAAAAAATAAATTGACTGTTTTGAGGTCACATTATATTAATGAATTTTATCATGCTAAAACGGTCGAATCACTAGAAAAAATATTTTTTCTAATCATCTTGTTACATCATTATAATCATGGTTTCTCTCGTGATTAAAGAAGCAATAAATCTGTCAGTTAAGGTCCTGGAAAAACAGCTTGTGTGGATTTGAGTCTCAAAAAAATGTGAAATTATATTTTATTTTACATCTGTTGAACATCAGTTTTACATCTGTTACAATAGCAACAGCTTTGTTCTAACAAATGACTTTGATGCAGAAATGCAAATCATGTGTTACTCAAAACACTAGACAACTGGGTAGTCTTGTTACTAATCCAAGTCAGAACACCAATAATGGAGAGCAATTTTTAGTTTGCTATTGAAGATTAACGTAGCTCACATATATTTTCCTTCGATGTCCATTTACAGATCAAGACCTGTAGTAATGGTTAAAGCTGAGGTGTCTTTCAGCCCAAACAAAATCCGTATTCAGAATACAACCTGCTCAAAACCATTGGAGAACACAGCTACAGTCTGCTTTACCATGAGCAGAGTGTCTACAGTCAAAACAGGTTCATCATTCTCCTTACTTTTTTCTAACTACAAAGCCATTATCCAGCAGTTTGATGGTTTCTCTGTATGTAAATTTGTAGCATTGAAATCAAACTCTGATATATTCCAGCTGAAGCAAGGATTAATTATACTTTAACGCTGGATGCCACTCGCAAACCTCTGAACAACCGAGCGTACATCAGTGGGAAACAACAAGCGAAATCTGGATCAGTTGCTGTGAACTTAACTAGCAAACTGTGTTCAACTGTAAAATTCTTTATTGAGGTAAAACCGAATAACAACATCAGAAAAAAAATATTATGACCATTTCATGAAACAAAATATGTTATTTAATTAATTGTATTTTTTTTTGTGTCCTCAAACACTGAATGTGAACCTAACACTGCTCTCTTCTTGCAGGCTTGTCCAGAAGATGCTGTCAATGAACTTTCCAATGAGCTCAAATTCACATTTGATGGTTTTCCTTCAAAAAACCTTAGACCAAGTCTCGCCCCACAGGCTCAAGCAACAACTATTCATCCTGTGAGGAACCTTTAACGACACCTTATTAACTTGGCATCTGAGTCTAGTCTTTATGAAGTTTATGAAGTTACGAAATTTTAGTGTTTTGCCCTTAAATTGTCTGAAATAATGTTATTATTGGTGTCTGTTTGGGCAGTATCTATTGAAGAGACTGGAAGTAAATGAGTTACCATCACTGTAGTTGTAGCTCTCTATATAGTAAATGCATTACAAATTCTACTATGACTTTACTTTCTATGTAACTCTAGCTTCGGGGCCAAGGAGAGACTGTGCACTTCTCAACTGCTTCAAACCTAGTGACAAACTTCAACTTTGAAAATAACTGAATTAAAAATACACAAGCCTTATGAAGGGTATCTCTATGTGGGATCCCACCTGATACATAGGTTCCTGTGTGTGCAGAGGATTTTCCAGAAGTGGATTGAGAACAGAAATGTTCTGCAGAAAAGTACAGCTAGATGGTGGAATACAAAAAGTGGTTATTTCAAATGTTCAATGTTAAATTTAGTCTGTAAATAATGTAATAAAAATATGTTTTATATTATGTTTTCTTCCACAGTTAGGGTTTGAGATCAACTGCGGCACTGACAACAAATGTGTTGATAACTTAAAAGTGGATTTCAACTTCACCAGGTGAGGATCAGGTGCAAAACTCAAGCTTTGGTGTCTGGTAGCATGTCAAGTTTAAGAGTATGAACACTAAAATTATTAATTAATTTAAAGGAATAAAATGACAAACTTGGAAGTGAACAGAAATAAATAAATTATAAAAACAAACAAAAACAAAATGCTTTTTTAGATCCGAGTTGTATTTACGTCTCACTTCCCAAATCAACAAATATAAGATTTATTCTGGGTGCCAAAACTGTGTTGTTAAATGTAGAATATGTTAGGCTGGAAGGACCAAAGGACAAGGGGGAACTAAGATAAAATACAGAACAGATTTGTCCTCCAGTAATGATCACAGAGAACAAAACAAGGAAGTAGAACTCAAGAAACAAGCTTGTTTGTCCAAACTTGACACACAAAGACAAAAAAAACCCCACTGAGACAAGCCTGGAGGAACACAAAGGGATCAAAAAAGGAATCAACTATCAAGAATAAAAACTAAGCAAGGAACTAACAGGACACAATAATAAAAGCTCATTAGAAATAAGGAACATAAAATCAAACATTTAACAGAAGTCGACAGCGCCTGAACGTTTTTTAAATCAAAAAGAAATCATTAACCCACTAAAACTCAAACACTTGGCTCCATGAAGACAGAACGAGTGACAGATAATTTAACATAACTGATAGAATCACTAATTATTTAAGTCATCTGGTGAGAATCTTCACATATAAACGGGTCAAGAAAGTTTCTTCTTAATGTCCCTTTTGGCACCAATTTGTGGTTTTAATTTCTGCTGTTACTTTTGAATAAATTAGAGTAAAAATAGTATAGCTGTAACTTTATTTTTTCCTTCCATTTTCCTTGTGCTTCCTCATACTCTGACAGATCATCAGTGGTTAAAGTGGGCATTGATGAGCTTTTGGATGTCACAGTCACAGTGGAGAATAGAGGAGAAAACTCCTACAACAGTCGTGTTATTCTCACGTATCCAGCTGGACTCTCCTACAGGAAGTTCACCATTCAGCAGGTAAGACACCAGGATCAAGTCTGTATCAGTTCATCACTGATCTGCTGCTCTTCCAATGCATCCGGCAGTCATTTTGTTTCTAATAAAGGGAAGAATTGAGTGCAACTCTTTGGACAGTGAAGATGGTTTATCTCGAGGAAGGACAGACTGCACTATTGACAAGCCAATTTTCAAGAGCAAAACTAAGGTGAGCTTTATACTTTTTCTCTGTATAGAATATTTTTTCTCACTCCTTTATTTTCACTTTTACACAGTTTACAGACAAATAGGAGTCATTCTTATCTCTCTCATTCAATTAAGGCTTGCTTCATTGTCTCCTATGGGATTGACACCAACAGTCAACTTGAGAGGAAGATCTTTGTCACTGTGAATGCCAGCAGGTACTTTTCATTTTGCTACAGGTACTCCTCATTAAAACAATAGTCCAATAGATACAGTACAAATAATTTATTTTCTCTCTTTCAGTGGAAATCAGGAGCATGCCACAACAAGTGAACTCTACAAAAAGAAATGGGTTTATGTGAAATACAGCATTTTTATGACATTTGAAAAGTATGTGTTTTTCTAACTGTAATGGGGAAAAGTGTATTTTTTTTTTTTACATGGCATTTAATATTTCAAATATACCTGTTTAGCTCCCTCAGCTACAACAATTTTACATTTGGGATGAACGATTTGCAGAAACCAGTCCATCAATCAGTCAAGGTGAAATACAACTTCTGCATATGTCTGTAGTTCAAAAGTTCATTGTAAGATGTAGACCTAACTATACTGCTGGGTTATACTTTTGTTTTTCAATTTTAGGTTACAAACGATATCAGAGCACTGAATTTCACTGTGGTGATCAGGGTTCCAGTGAAGCTTGGTGAAAAAGACATTTGGGTGGATTTGAGCAGTCTAAGGGTAATATGTGTTTGAGAATTGATAGTTACAGACTCAAAAATGACCTATGCTTGTGTATGGATGATTGGGTTTGAGAAATTAAAATAAAACCAAACGTATATAAATAAAACATATATCTCAGATTGCAGAATGTCAGAGAGGAACTGATGAAGAATCACCTGTAAAAGTTTTTGTTCCTGAGATACAAAAAAATAAAGTTGTGGTACGTATACTACTGCACTTTACCTGTTGAAATTTAACCAAAGTGTATTGTTAAAATTAACATTACACTGGATCAAAACTTGTGTTGCATTTAGTCTTCTTCAAATGACCCACAGGACTGCTCTGTAGCCAAGTGCAGACTGTTCAAGTGCAGCACATCCATGGGAATACGGGAGAGTAGGACATACGAAATCTCTGCCAACCTCAGCTCAGGATGGATAGAGCAGGTAACTGACAGGAATTTTATGTTCAATTATTCATTAATATTTTTTTATTTTTACAGATGATTATGTAGCAGTAACTTGTTAAATCTTTTGATAAAATCATTCCTTGTTAAATCAAGCAACACCTAATTTATCCCCAATTTATTTCACTTTTTTTTTTCTTAGATTGGACTTCAATCTGCCAAATTCCTCTTAACCAGCACAGCCACTCTGGAGTACAACAAAAACCAGTACATCTACTTTGCATCAGGGTCTAACAGTAATCCTCCTGTTCGCAAGGTGATTGGAAATTGCTTTCTATTATTTTCTCGTTTCAGTTATATAATAGTTTAAATTTATTCACTTTCTATTAACTTGTCTGTCAGATTGAAGCAGAGGTAGAAGTGTATCCTCAGCCAAATTTCACCAAAGAGATCATTGGAGGATCCCTGGGAGGGCTGGCTTTTCTAGCTTTACTCACTGCTGGCCTTTATAAGGTAAGTTCGATTTTTTTTTTTCAGTCAGTGTCACAGCCTCACAAAGTTAGTATAGAAAACATCTAGTTAAAAATAAATTATTATATTCACTCATGTAGCTTGGTTATTTTCATTCCTTTTTATTGCCACAAATGACTGATGCATTTTTATGTTTTTTTTACTCCCAGTTGGGATTTTTCAAGAGCAAATACAAACGGATGATAAATGAAAATGAAGAAGACAGTCCAGGTCCAGGGACTGATGCAGCTGCAAAATCCGCTGAATAGCAAGGATCACGTTTGTAGTCTTGATGCTCTAAATCTTTCATTACATTTTATTAATAAAAATGATGCCCGGAAATGTCCAAATGCTTGTGGTGTCTAAACTACATCACTCCTTGACTAATTGACCAAAATAAAAATGTTTCTACCTAGTTGTCAGGACCATCAAAACAGGATCCCAAAAATAAACCTAAAGGCAAAATCTTTTTCAGGACTTGAAACGTGTTCAGATTAAACCTGTTCCAAATGACAACTACAATTTTCTTGAGCAGAAAAAAACCATTCAAATGATCATGTTTTGGAAAATGTGTGAAATTCAACTGAGATGCTTAAAATTGTGTAATGTTGCTTGTTTTATTCGGGAATAAAGATATTTTCCAGCTTTGTGTTATAAAATTACACCCCTGTCCCCTCAATGTAAATGAGGGTCTTCCATCCATTACTCCATTATTCATATTTCACAGTACTCAACACAGTTATAGATCCAAATGGTAGATTCCTAATCATTAAATTATCTATACTTAACAAAAAAGCTATGTGTTGTAAGTGTACATGGCCCAAATGTTGTTGAACCCTTCCATGTTTTTTTAGTGCACTCTCTGAACACCTAGATTGCGCACTTGTTCCTGGGGGCAACCTCAACTTTGGACTAAATGAAGAAATGTATATGCTCAATACAGCAGGAACTGAGGATAACTGGGAATCCACAAATATAATTAAACCTCACATGAGCAATTTGGGACCTTGCAATGCATGGCGCTTCCTTCACCCCAACCGTAAAGAATATACTTTCCTCTCACATGTCCATCACTCCTACTCTCATCTGGATTATTTCCTAGTCAGCAGCTCACTGTTGAGTGACATTTAAGACACTGAGATACACCCTACAGCTGTCAGTAATCGTGCTCATGTATCTTTAATACCAACACATAAAAAAAACATTCTGCCAAGTAAAAACTGGAGATTTAATACATGATTGCTAACCCTAACCTCAATAATAAGGCTCCATGTCCAGATGGATTTCCAGCAGAATTCTACAAAGAATTCTGGACAATTCTGGTACCAATATTCCACAGAACATTGCAGGAAATCAAGAAAAATGGCAGACTACGACCAAATAAGAATTCTGCCAACATCAGTCTCATGCTAAAACCAGCCAAAGACCCTATATTTCCCCTCAAACTATCGCCCAATATCCCATATTAATTAAAGAAGAGATTTAAGATATTAAAGAGATAGAGAAGATAACCCCCTTCTTAAAACAACCTGATCAAACCGCTTTCATAGAAGGTCAGCACTCACCACCTAGATTACTTAATTTAATAGACTACTCATTTAGTAAAAACACTGAAAGAACAATATTGTCTCTAGATGCAGAAAAAGCATTTGACAGATTTGGAAGCTGGAAATTTTTGTTTATTCTGTGGGCTAAAGAAAATAAAGTTATAGACTATATTTATATGAAACATGTGTATACTGACTACATGACTACATTTGAAGTATTTTAACCATTTTAACCATTTTAACCATTAACCATTAAGCATCCAAAACAGGTTTTTTGAAACACTGCTCTTAAGTTTGTTTCAAAACACCCAGGTCACATGACCACGACCAAACCACAGTGTTTCCACCCAGATTTGACAGGTGACGTACCCGCTGCTTGTAGCCATTGGCTGGCACCAGGACTTTTTTTACTAACCAGAGTCATTTGCCATGACTGAAGTAATGTTTTGGATATGACTGCTTCTATTTCTTACACACGCATTACAAGAAAATAATAACTTCTCTTTTATTATTCTTTTTGTGGTGGATTGCGAAGACCAAGAGCCATGGCTAATCCAAAGATCTAAACACTGTAATCAAAAGTGTAATCGACTGAATATTATATAGATAGAATAAGGCATATATATAAGAGAAAGTGCAACATTCCTGGGTGAGCTCCATTCACTCATTTCAGAACAGAGAGGGTGGTACAATAAATTCATGAAAATCTGTCAATAAAAACCAGCCTCCACTTTCAACAAGAAAACAAAAACAACGCCTCCATCTGATCTCTAGTTTTTTTTTCTACTTTCAAAAGAAGTTTATTTTTTTCCCTTATAAACAGGAGGCTTGCAGGTTCACTATAACCAGGACTTCAGACTCAGTAAAGCATCATGTCAGTCTTGCAAGATACAGCATCCACAGAACTTTGTACTGAAATTTTGTCAATTTTCCGTTTAATATATTTTTTTAACGCTATGCCAGCTTCTAGCTTTGTTTGCCAGTGTGTGGAACAAACCTGATGACATGAAAACATAGAAAGCTTAAGAGTTAACAAAACACATGCAAGGTTTGAGGGCTGTGACCAAAGCAGAACAAAGAAACAAAGCAAACAGAGCCCAAAAATGCTCCAAACTGTGATGTTATAACAGGAAACACAGCAGTCTTTTCTCTGTATGTTTTACTTTATAAATTGATTTATTGTGCCCAGCACAAACATTGACAGAGGGAGAATTTTGCTGACAACAACAGCCTCAATATTTTTCTTTCTTTATGCAGGGATTTCTCCCAAGCATGTGTTAATCACAATTATTGACAGTCTGGCATAATAAGTAACTTTGTTTGGAATTGTGCAATGCTTTTCTGTATCACAGTTTCACAGAAGAGCATTATCAAGATATGGCAATGGCCAAATTGGCCAGCAGGTGTCACTGTGGAGATGGATTTCAGATTGTATCACACCTTGAAACAATTCCAGCACAAATGCTTCGAATATTTTGGTGTTCCACGAAGCCTTGCTTTGCCGATCACTAGGAACAAGTACAAAACACGGTGAAAGTCAGAACAGGAACAAAGGGAGATGGACACAATAAATACACAGGAACACAGCTGGAGCAAATAAGACTGTGAGACAGGAGAAGAAAACTGAGCACAATTCACATATGACGAGGTACTGTAAAAAAAAAAAATAAGACAGGAGACACAACAAATGGAGACAGAAATGCAGGGAGAGAGAGAGCCAAAGAGAGACAGGGAGATACACAAAAGGAAACCAACTTAAACTAAACACAGAACTTGGAATAGGGCAAACTCAAAGCATGAAATAATACACTCAAAATTATCTAATGATCTTAAACCTCATTCCAGAAAACACTAAAAGTTTCAGGAAAACATAAAATACACTGAAAAAAATAATCAGTGGGATAAACATAAAAAAATCATTGTAAGCGGTTGCACGAAATTAAGTTATGTTTG